ACTACGGGTATTAATATACACAAGGAGTAGATAAATCAAACTTGACAAAATATATTTTTTAAAGACGGGTGTAGTGCACAAGAAAGAATCAATATATTTGTTACTATTTTATCAGTCTACGACATATCAAATAATGCATGTGTTGGTCAATAACGAATTTATGTACAGTTAGTTACGATACTGTTGTCAGGTCATTAAAGGTGGCATATTTTGGAATTAATATTGATTCACTCATAGGGTCTTTGCATTGGAAATAAACACATTTATTCTAAAACCATTTGTTGGCATGATAAAGGTTGTGTTCTTCTCAAATATTTTATGATGGTATGATACTAAACTACTAACGGGAGGGATTGTGCTTGATTTTCATGTGATGAAGACATAATCTTTCAATCATTTTAATTGAGGTCTGGAGCTGGCATGTCAGTAACTGATAGTAGTCCTTTGTTGATTTATGTATCATTGTCATTTTGCTTAGTTTCTTTTGTTACCTATTCTGACATCGGACTCGGACTTTTTCTACACTGAGTTTTACTGTGCGTATTGCTGTGTGTTTGTTTATTCAACATTGGCTAGAGGTACAGGGGGGATTGAGATCTCACAAAACATGTTTAACCCCGCCGCATTTTTGCGCCAGTCCCAAGTCAGGAGCCTCTGGGCTTTGTTAGTATTGTATGTTTTTTTTATCTTGGTTCATTTATATGTTTCGGAGTCTAGTGTGACGTCAATTTTCACTGAACTACAGACGCTAGTACACGTGTTTGTTTAGGGGCCAACTGAAGCCCGCCTCTAGGTGCGGATTTTTCTCGCTGTGTTGAAGACCCATTGGTGGCCTTATGCTGTTTTCTGCTCTTTGGTCGGGTTGTTGTCTCTTTGACACATTTCCCATTTCCATTCTCAATTTTATATATTCTTTGGTCGGGTTGTTGTCTCCTTAACACATTTCCCATTTCCATTCTCAATTTTATATATTCTGTAAACAAATTATAGACCGCAAATTATACAAAATCACAGAAAAATATTTTTTTAAAAACACTGTAAAATCTGTTTGAAAATCTAACAGCGGGAGATTAAAGATCGAATTCCTCACAAAAACCATGGAAGTATTATATTGACAATATAATACTTCCATGCAAAAACTGATAACTATGACAATCATTAATCGAATTACATTCTGTCAATAGCCTGTGTACAATATAGCCTGAACATTTCTATGCGATTGATGCGGATCTCATATTACAACATCGACAATCTACACAGTTGAAAAATTATTCTTTGCATCATAGCAAATTACTGATTTCCAAATGGTAGACATTGACTATCTGATAAAGAAAATAAATCCACTAAACGCTTAAAAAACAAAATAAATTTTAAGGCATTAAAAGAATTGGGAGTTTTTTCTTGTTTTTGTATTCACAAATGATTCTGTGACAGCAAAATGTCCATACTATTTCATCATCATAGTATAGAGAAAATCTTAGAAGTTTACGTATAACATTTGTAGAATTATGGGTTGAAGTCAAATTAATTGGAACAAAGACTATTCCTTTCTTTTTGTTTTTTTTTTTTTTTTACATTCTATTCTTTTTTAATAGCACATGTTAATGAACATTTGGCAAATAACCTTTTGGGGAAAATCTGTACGCAGCACATATTGATTGGATACAATTTGTTCACCACGGTTCCAGTTAAATTACAAGATATTTGTACATTTAAATGCTTATTTTGTGCATATTACTACATGCATTTGTCACATATTTATATTTGAAATAAAAATTGTAAAATCATTTTATACTTAGGGTTAAGTTAAAGCAAGATAAAACTGAAAAAATGTTGACTCAAATCAGTTACAACAATTCAAAACACAGAATAAGGAAGGTCAGGATGTCTCTTCAAGGCAATCCTACCTCAGGTGATCACGTACTGATGACTTCTGATCAGACATAATACATTATCTTTATCAAATGGATATTTTAAGGTACTTACAATAACAGAGCTAATCATGTAATGTGTAAAATTCATCATCAAAAATCAAAAAACCTCGATTACGGGTAGAGCATGGCATCATTTGTATCTGATACTATGGTAACGGGTTTGTTTAATTAAAATGATTTTTCATCGCCGTTACATATTTTATTCTCATTCATTTTAATTTAAGATAGAGATTTTAATAACTCGCAGTCATTTAAGATTGAAAAAAAAAACAATATTAAAAAAGTATTCCAACAAGAAGAAAATTAACGACGACTGCGTATGAACAAGGGACCCATATCTTATTCGTTCTTCATATGCATTTTTGCGGTTAGACAAAACAAAAATGAGTATAAATTTGAAGGAATTAAATACATTAACCTTTGCAGAAATAGTCACATGATATTAATCATATTACAATTTATAGACGGGACTATCTATAATTGACCTAGAAAACATAGGCGCATCCATTGACCTCTCACGTGACCGATCCGCCAATACAACCGTGAAAAATAACGCACGTGTGTTGATCAAAACATTATCGATTTTCTGTTTACATTTGTATTTCCTTCATTTTCTTATTTACTTCACTATGGATACTGCCGAAAGTTATAAAAAAAAAGGTGGAGGCATTTCTTGTGCAGTTAATATTTGTCCAAATAATTGTAGAAATTTCAGATGTGCAAAAAAAAATCTATAAATAAAATATGTGAACTATAAACACTGTGCGGGACAAATTTGCCATTCCAGAATTGGCAAATCTGACTTTGTCGGTTTACAAGATATCAAAAAAATGATTTTGCCCAGCGATAGATTATTAAAAAAATTAAAAAATTCCATATGTCCCAACCTGTCAATGTTGTCACTGCAGCTGATTAAAAGTACATTTCCCATTGGAAAATTTAAAGTTCCCATGGGAAGTTTAGAGTTCCCATGGGAAAAGATTAATACAAAAAGTTCCCATGGGAACCATTTTTCTTCCCATGGGAACCATTTTTCTTCCCATGGGAACAATTTTTCTTCCCATAGGAACAATTTTTCCTATGGAAACAATTTGTTTCTTCCTATGAAAACAATTTTTCTTCCCATGGGAACATATAATATTACAATATGAACATTAATCTCCATTTGAATTTTCTTTCCAGAAAAAATTACAATTTGTTGCAAATACTGGATTTATGTTAAATTATTAAAGTATGCAGGTTCTTTGCAAGAACTCAGTATGGTTTTGTGTAGAATGGACTCATTCGGAACATGCATGAAATATTTGCCACTAAACAACACTCACTCGAGTTCTATTGAGAGTTGCACCTTCCATGAAACTCTTATTATCCAGTAAAATATGATACAATGAGAAGTAAGTTTAAAAATTAAGTTGTGTGTCTGTGTGTGTTTTGTGATTGACAAACATTTCCTGTGTAATATTTATTTTGTTTGCACTTTTACAGTCTTTTATTCCAATATAAATCACTTGTTCATTTTATGGATCTATTTCTTCAAATCAGAGATTGCAGAGGGCTTGATAATTGCATAAAGAAAAATGTTAATACTGAGGAACAATGATATATTTATGTCGCCCAATATGAGAAACAGCTGCGACAATATTTTTCTACTTTTTCAACTTTCTGTTGATAAAAAAGAAAATCAAAACCAAATACTTCCACGTAGCAAAATTTATTACATAAAATGTAATTCATTTGTTATACAATTATATAGTTACACATTAGTTTTCAAAATTATATTGTCCATCTCTCTAACTAATTACAGAAATGGTCAAATGTTTTAAAAAAACTTTCATTTCTACTTGGATTTTATAACATCTTGGTGTCTCGTCTACTGAAAACTTTCTTCCACCCATCAAAATACTTTACACAATAACCTGAAAAGGAGAACGCTTCAAATAATATATGTTATAATTTAAGGAATTAAGTTAAAGAAAACAGAGTTACTGTTTAAACTAAAATATTTATAAATTCTCTAATATTCAATAATTTATTATATTGTTTTAAATTTATGTATAATGTTTAATAGCAGATCTTGGGAGCAATTTTTTTTTCATTCATCTCGTAAGGAGATTTAGGAGGATTTGAAGCTTTGCATATTATACTGAATATTTTATTTAGTTGAAAAAGCTACGATGGATTATTATGTCTAATTTTCATATTTTGTTGTCTCATTGAGGCATGAACCACCTATGCTTTTATTCTCTTAATGCAAATCAGCCATTTAAATGACAAAAGTTCAACTTTTGCATCAGTTAAATTTTAAATTATCTTTGTGTTTGGTTGATGTTTTGTTTTTGTCAATGAAAACTTATCATTTTTTCTCTTGCTGATGATGACAGCATTGTAAAAACTGCCATCTGACCATCTTGTAGAAATTTTTGTGCCAACTGCAAGTTCATCCTATAAAAAAATCAAAGCATTCAATTTCAAGACATTTTCATTTGTTTTTGGCCATACTCAGAGGATAAAATTACCTTCTTATCAGACTGGCTTAAAAAGCATGATAAAAACAGAATAAATGACTAGATTCACTCTTTAAAAATATTTAAAAAGCAAAAGAGATGAAATGGTGTATCTGGTAGTTCAAAACCCATAGATTTCTGCCTTTCACAATTATTAAACAATTACAAAGTCATCAAATATGACATAGTATTATTGTTAAGTAAAATACAAGTACAACAATATCCTGTGCTTGTTTGAAGACAGTATTATCATATGTAAGTGACAATGGTGCATTTTCAGTGTAAATATTGTAAATTGCATAGTCAGCTATAAAAGGCCCCGAAATGAAAAATGTAACACAATTCAAACGAGAAAACTAACGGCCTAATTTATGTACAAAAATATGAATTTTTTCAACATCTTATAGCAATTATTTACATATTTTTTTCTGATTCTTCTAGCTGTTACCAGATTTCTATGTTTTAAATTCACCCTAATTTTAAAGGAAAATTGCCCAAAAACGAAGATCATTATTTGGCATACTTTTGCCAAACTTACTTCAATGTATTTAGATATAAGAAGATGTGGTATGAGTGCCAGTGAGACAACTCTATATCCAAGTGTCAATTTGTAAAAGTAAACAATTATAGGTCTAAGTACTGTCTTCAACTTGGAGCCTTGTCTCACACTGAACAGCAAGCTATAAAGGCCCCAACAATGACTAGTGTAAAACCATTCAAACAGGAAAACCAACGGTCTAATCTATATATAAAAACGCAGATTTATATATATTTTAATATAATTCAATTTTGGATGTAACACGTGACGTCTTCTGATTGGCTGAAAGTTTTTTAGTCTATCAGCTAACAAGACATAATTTTGTCATGTGACTGTGTCATCAATGTTTTTCATGATTTACTCGTTAAAAATTAAATATAGAATTAAGTTATAAGGGATGACTAATATTTTTCATGTCTTTTCAAAATAGCCTCAAAAATGTGGTGCACTCTTATAAATAACCCACTATGCAGGTTATTAAGTGTGCACCACATTGTTGAAAAACATTATTTGTTATAATACTTTTTGTTTATTATTATATTTTTGGTTGTTTATTATTTTACTTTTGGCAATTTCAGCCTAGCAAGACAGAACTATTACGAGCATAGAGCAAAAGCTAGATCCAGTCCTCAACACTATTTGTCATTGATTATAGACAATATGGACCAAGCAAAAACAACACTTCCAAGATTTTCATTGAATTCAAAGGTATGTCAACCAGATACAAAACAAGATATACAAAGCAGTCAAATCATACCACATCTTCTTAGTTTTATAATGAAATCTTCAGTAATTGCTCTGAATGAACAATTTGTACCATATTTTTTTTTGTGTTTTTGCCTTGTATTTTAATAACAATAATATATATACTATAAGATCTTCAATCAACATGGCCAAAATTTTATGTTTTGCTCCTGATAGGACAAGACAAGATCTACAAATTGGTCTAAAAGGAGTTATGGCAATTGAACAATGTTGAATGTTGATGATTACCTATTTTTTCACATTTCCGGTAAAAAGTATAGTTGATAGAGGAAATAAAAATGATTGAAAGTACAAGATAAACTAAACAAAAAAAATATTTCAGTCATGAACTATATTTGGGTCTGTGAAGTTGGAAACTGACCATAGTTGAAGATTTACACAAAGATCCTGGTGGGCAACACCCTCTTTTACTTGTAGTCAGATATGAAAGACACCACAATAGTTTTCTTTGACTTTAAAGTGCAATTTCTTTTCAGACTGACTCAGCCTATGCTGGAGTGCATCATCATGTTACTGGTGCATTATGCCATGGTTTTGGACTGGACTTCGGATTTACTTGGACAGACCGATTCCACCTTGATTCAAATGTCACATTGAACTGCCTACTGAAAGTTCTTCACCATGTCAAAGAGGTATGACAATTTTAAAGTAGCTGAAAACAATTATTTACTATTTTAAAAAATGTATACTTCAATATCACGACTGTTTAGTGTTTGTGATTTAAGTTGAATAATTAAACTTTTTTCTGGAATGTTATTGAATGGAATGGACCATACCATACTATACCATTTTCTATATCAAGTATTCAAGAATATTGAAAAAAACGGAATTGACCTTTTCAATAAATTAGAACACACAAAAGGGTGTGAAATGTAAAGGTCCACTAGAAAATATTGTAAACAATACTACATGTATAGCAATATTGTATGAATATTGGTGAAACTTGTCTGGAGAAGCTTTATATATAACACTATCTTACAAGTTTGATATATATTCTACTAGGGACTATACATCCATTTAATGAACCATAGATTAAAAAACATATTTCTTCACTGATGACATCACTAACTTGAAACTTTAATAACTAATAATGTTTACAGTATGATAATGATATTAAATTATGTAAAATTAATAATTTTCGAAATGATGCTGAGAGGGTTTATTTTAAAAAAAATATTAACTGCTTTTTGTCTCGAATGCAACAGAGTTGTAGAAAGCGAGACATATAGATTACAATCCAACAGCTGAGGGACGAAGAAAACCTGGATTCTTCATACCTTGTATACAGATACTTTATGTTACGAAATGTCCATCTGTCATAATATCCTTTGTCATTTTAAGATTCGGTGAATGCTTGAGAAAAATGTACTTTTTTTTTAAGTGAAACTCTCTTTTTTCAAGTAATAGGATAACTATATTTGGTATTTGGGTTTGTTTCAACGTCAAAACGTCCGTCTGGTAGGTTTCACCTGACCTCAATATAAAAATAAGAAGATATATACATATAAATATAAACAAGTCTAAATTGAAAACAACGTTCAAACCTATGAATGCTTTGGATAAAAACCGCAATTTTTATACGTGCGCATGCAAAACAAATTTCTTGGTAAAGGGGTCTAAATACAGCACAAACAACATTTTCCAAAAGACCAAATGAGTGAAAACGTATATTTTAACAAAACGCATTTGACTAGCAGGTCGAACAACTGATTTTCTTAAATCCTGCTGACTGCCATTGGCGATTGCCAAATAAACGGATCACAAGATGTAACAAAATAGATCTTTTTATTTATTTATTACCAAACAGAAAACAATAAACTTGCGGAAAAGATGGTATACCGCAAACACGAGGTGCAAAAATTTGTACACCATATCCAGATTTCGACAATTAATGTCTCTTCAGTGATGTTAGGAATCGAAACAGTATTTGGAAGGCCATATAATTTACCTGAATTTTGGATAGACTCTTGAATTTTGAAAGAGTCAAAATAGGATGAACGGATCATATAAACCCGAAGGCAAATATAATACAAGCCCAAACGAAAAAATATAAACAAGTCTAAATTGAAAACAACGTTCAAACCTACATATAAATATATATATATTAACCCATATATCATAGTCAGCTAGTATATGGTTACATTCTGTATTAATCAATGTTGTTGCTTTACAATAAAACTTTTAATTTTAGATCAACAACAATGCACTGCCACCAGTTTTGTATTTGCAAGCAGACAATTGTGGCAAAGACAACAAAAACCACTTTGTTCTGATGTTTTTAGCTGCTCTTGTGAAGGCAGAGGTATTCAAGAAGGTAAGTCTAGAACATAATATGAAATATCCCATTTTATTATCCCTTGAAAATGTATTATTTAAAATTGTTGAATTTAAAGTAAGACAGCTGCTCACAGAAACATTATGAATAGAAAGTTATAAGTGAATCACATGTTATATCAATTTGCCATATAAACATAAAATAATGAAAAAGGAAAGGACACATAAGCAGTTGCTGTAATCTTTAACACTAGAAATGCTTATCTAGATTAACCTTTATTGGGGGAGTTTGTATTTGACAGATTGAAAGCAAAAATAGCTATTATTGAAAAGAAATGAACTCATAAGCTGCATGAAAGAGCAGAGCAAAACGTTTCTAAAATTGTCTTTATTTGAAAGTTACAAACATGTCCACAATGAATAACCCAGAGGTCATACAGTTGATCATGACTGTTGCCAAATATTTTACCTACTGGTTAAAAGACAGATAGTAATGATTTTAATATTTGTGTTTGTAATGGTAGCTTATTTTGCGAGTTGTTTTTTATCTGACAAAGTACAGCTGCATCTTTTAAGCTGATGAAACTTTTGTTGTAGATTAAACTTTCTTTTTTGATGGTGGGACACACACATGAGGATGTGGATCAACTGTTCAGCAGAGTCAGCACGAAGTTATGCCAAGAGAATGCACCAACGCTTCCAGAACTTCATTCAAGAATTAGAGAAGCATCAACACCTTCACCAATTGTGAGTCACCTTGACAGCATTTTTAATTTCAAGGAACAACTCATAAATCTTAACAGATGTGACGGAATAAAATCTCTACATGTATTTAAATTTGTGAAGGATGGTCCCAGTGTGAAGATGTCGATAAAAGACTGGCCTTTGGACTACGAAGAGTACAGAACAGTGAATTTATAGAACATTCCAACCTTACAGGTATATAAATATATGCCATTAGTGACTAATTGAATTTAGTGTAAATATCATTGATGCAGAAGCCCATCAACACATTACAATTTCTGCATAAATGTAAATAATTGCTAGTGTTTTATCCAGAACTTAAAAAGTGCATGATATTTTTTTTACCAAAAGGGCACTTAGCCCATCAACTATACCAAATAGGGCACATAAATAAACTAGTAATTTACACATATGATATGATATTCAGTGTTTCTCATAAAAAAAGATATATAATTTTTTCAAAGCTAAGCTTGAACATAATATAATGATATTAGTATACTATAATAGTCCTAGAATTGAGCATCTTTGATAAATAAATTGAAACAATGCATCTACATGGAAATATATACATTAATCAAGTTGATCTAATCAAAAGTATGTTAATGCCTGTGAAATGCATACTTTTTTCTTTTTGGGATAAATTTTCTTCCATCAGCTGTGCCATTCATGCATCCGTAGTCATTATTGTAAGAATCCGAATTTTGTTCATAGCTGGTCCGTTTGCCGACTCCAATCTCTACTTCGTACAATATTACAATGGCGGACAAAGAAAAAATTATAAAAATTAACGATTTTTGGCACGCAATTTGGAAAGGAATATGACATTTTTAATGCAATAAATGGATTACATATTTACTTCAGGCAACTTTCATCACGTTCTAATGAAGTAACACGCTTATTTTGCTGAAACAAAGAAGGATTTAATGTACGCTCTCGAGTCTCACGGAAGTGATATTGTCTTCATGAAATAACATGCAACCAACTTAGTCAATGCTTGTCGCCCTTCGATCAGAAAAAAAACCAATACCGCAACCCGATCTAGATCCAGATAACGCTGAAGTGCACATGGCGTCAAATTTTTCAAAAGAAAAAGGGCATGGCATCAATTAAAAGGACGCAATGCTAAATTGCTTTAGATAAAACACTTATAACTATTTATAGACAAATATGCAACATCAACTAATCATGTGTTTATCTTTGTTCAAACACAAACATTAATTTGATCTCTATGCATATGTCAATAGACAAATTCATTTAGTCACTCTACCTTTCTATTCTATCTGTTGGTCAATTTCAAAAGCTTTCTATGGAAATCCCTATAAATAACATAAAGATTGAACAATGTTCGATGAGGTAACTTCTTCTTGTGTATTTTTCAAGACTTTCCTCTTAATGTTTTCGATCAAATAATTAAAGGTATCCATTTATAAATTGATAATAAGGAGATATGTTATGATAACAAATGAGACCTTCTATTTATAAAAAGGTATGTACAGCCTTTGTCGATGGGATATATACACAGTTTTTTAGGTACACTTTCACTTTTTTTTAACTGATTTGATTGAAATATGTTGTCTCATTTTGCAAAACATAGACTTCATCATTTTGACATATGTGTACTGTGTCTAAAAAAACATTTCATAGTTGCTGTTTTATTACAAATTCATACTCTTAATCTAAAACCTTTTTAATGAAACTGGATATTTATTTCAGGAAATTTGCACATCCTTAAACCCTGTGAGGAAAAATCCAAAGATTGACTCAATCGCAATGGTTAGGGACCTGCCAAAATGGAAGCAAGCAGGACGTTTGACTAGGGAACAGCACAACTGGTGGCAGGAATACCTTGAAGGGTTAAACACAGATTATCCAGCCCTGCCATCAGTACCATTACCAACATCTCTACCAAAATTCCAGATTCCAGCAGTACAAAGGCCATCTAGGGCACTGGATCCAAACATTTTAGATGCCATTAATAGACATATTACTCAGCTGCAGACTTCGTCAGAGGTAAGACAAGATAATTTATTTGGTGAAATTTGAAAGACCTTAATATTTTTTTGTATTAATGGTATCATTTTGTTACTGTCTTTCGGGTCCTTTTGAACAGGCTTTATACAGCTTTTTTTTATTTCCTATATTTTAACAAATTTAAGGAATAATTGCTCCTTCAGAATCTTATGGTTATGGTACCAACAGTTTAGGAATTAGGGGCCAAAAAGTAGCATTTTTGTAGTTTCCAGACAATAACTTATATGTATGGATCTCTCTGACATTGTACCACAAGGTGCCATATCACAATGGCAAGCTTGAATATAGGGTTGAAATTTGACCAAACTGTTCAGAGTTTGACCTCTGCGGTCATATCAGGCTGTGCTCAGCAAATTTATTTTGTTTTATGTTCTTTGCTTTTTTATTTCAATGTTGGATAATTTTATATAGCTATTAATTTCACCAAATATCAATCTGTGTCATGACATACATTTGAAAATAATGCATCTAGTGTATGAAATGTTTCCTAAAATATCATCTTTCCTATAAACATGACTTATTTAGCCAAGGAAGTGAGAAAAAAGTGTGTAAGTCTCCAGACTAGATTTGAATATTCATTAACTATATAAAGAGATATTTAAATATCTTTTCATAAGACAACTGTTTATCATTTTTTTGTTGGGAACAGTACTATCTAAACCTTGTTAAAACAACAAAAATATTTTCTAACCACGCATTATGTTTATTTAGTTGATAAGATAAAGGATATTTATTCAGTAAAACACTGTTATTTGTAACTGTTTTTTTTTTTTTAGATCATAATATTTCATTCATTTTATTTTGCTTAAGAAAGAAATAATTTTATATTATGTTATGTATAATTCATGCTTCTGTAGCACAGTTTTGTTTTAGTTTATTTAGTAAAGTTTGTTAGGTATACTAGGATAGATTAAATTAGGGCTATTGTATGAACTTACTAAAACCAAAAGAAAATGAAAGAATTTAAAGTTTTCTTTATCAATTAAATTGATGAGTAATCATATGATAAATGTTTATACAGTAACTATTTTTCACTTTATGATGACATCATGCTATTTCATTTGTACTCTTGTTATACTATTTTGTTGTAAAATATCAGATCATTTAAAGTAAGATTTTTCTGATAACTGTTAATACATGGCATATATCTAAGAGGTTATAAAGGTTTAATTATTGCGGTTAAAGAGAATATACTTAAGCCTTAGCAGGATGGAAAGCTGTAGGGCATAACAAATTTTCTAAACCTTATAAAACATCTCAGAAAAGTAGTAAAAACGAAGAAAAAAACTAAGATAAAAACAGAATTACCATAGGAATTGTCTTTTTCTTTTTAAGCCATGGCGTTTTCAGTTTATTTTCGATTTATGAGTTTGAATGTCCCTCTGGTATCTTTCGCCCATCTTTTATACCTTTACCCTTAATCACCCTCCCATTTGCAGCATAAATGACCAGTTCCTTAAGATAAATTTTATTTTATTAAGAGAAAATGTCACTACTTTATATTTATGAACGCTGTGACCTTTTTATGTTTTCCTAATCGAAACATAAACTTCTGTTCTCTGACAATAAAAAATGTTCAATTGTCAAGGAGACAAATGTGCTTTGAAACTCTGCATCTTTAGATTTATTTTCCCTAAATACTCAATTTTAAAATAGTCATCTATATCATAATTCAGCATCTGTCATAATTCAATAGAAACTCTTCGAAAGAATACATGAATAAAAATGTTCTTTTAACAGATATACCCCTATGAATATAGAAAGATGCGAGAACAGAAGGCTACGTATGTGATTAATAAACAATGTTGCTGTGCGAATGAATTTGTTACGTACCAACCTCAACTTATTTTTCTACTTGCTGTGTACACCACAGCAATACTAGATTAATTGTTGATGGTTTTGTGTCCAGTGGCAAATATGTCATGCATGATTAGGATACAATATCCTGAATATGTTGGTTTTACAAAGTAAGGGCCGATCAGAATGAAGGGTAAGAATTTAGGACTGACACTGGAGAACTAGGGTATGTTCGATAAGGAGAGACATTTTGTCTAACAACAGCTCTCCTGCATGTTGTTAGTGAACCCTTCAAGGGTTCTTACACGCACAAAGAGTGTAAAACAATAGACATGAAGCATCCGATTTAACGTCCAAGTTTCGATCGAACGTGGCTGCGTATTTATACATCCCACACAGTTATACGGACGTCCATCACAAGCAAAGGTTTTGATACCAGAACGTAAGACGTCCAGAAGATTTAGTTCAGAAAATAATGTAAACAAAATCGATTCCTATACAGCAAATATTAACACTTAATTGATAATTTAAGACACTACGCAATTTCAAACGCGGGCCTAATTCCGATTGAAACATTAAATGCATCTCGAAAATTGTATATATACATGTACGTGCTACAGACCTTCTAAAATTCAAACTGACCATTATTCCGTGCGTTCATCGTGTATCGTGCGTGTTGCGTGCGTGTATCGTGCGTGTATCGTGCGTGTACCAATCGTGCGCTCATCATTCATCGTTCCGTGTATTTTCCGTGTAACGTGCGTGCATCGTGTATTCTTAATCGTGTATGGTGCGTGTATCGTCCGTGTATCGTGCGTTCATCAATCATTCATTCTTAACCGTGTATCGTGCGTTCGTCAATCGTGTATAACTGTGTACATCAGATAACGTGCATTTGTCAAACGTTCATCTCTAATTGGGTAACGTTCATTCATTGCGGTTTTTATATGATAGTCGGTTATAGAGCTCATCAAAGCTTATATTTCATCTCACGGTTAAAGTGTATATATATGTTCCGACTTTAAATAAAATTTACATTCATACTTACTTTCTTGTGAACACTTAATTAACTTCATCGTACATAACGTTCATACAGATTCATGAATTTTTGTGTAAAATTTATTTATCATCTGTAAACATTTCGTGGTTATTTAGTGAATCTTGGCTGGGACTGACACATTTTAATATAATGATACATGTTCTACGTACAAACAATAACATGATGACATTTCTACGACAGAACAGTTAAAATTGGAATTTCTATTCAACTGAGCGAAATGGGCTTAAAAATATACTGTTGGCCAACTGTTATTTGTTAAAAAATATTCCGCCAATTAAAAACAACAGTGCTTTTGCAAAATTTAGATGTGGGATAGCTCCACTAAAAATAGAAACTGGAAAGTATGAAAGAAAAGAAGTCCACGAGATGACATGTGTTGTAGCTCTACTATTGAAGATGAACTTCGTGTCATTTTAGAATGTCCATTATATGTAGATTTAAGACAAATTATGATACATTAAGCTAAACATTTTAATGAAAATTTTAACCTTTAATTATCAGATAGCGAAAAATTTATATTTTTATTTAATAACGGCAATGTTGCTGCTATAGTTGCCAAAAACATCAACAATATTTCATTGAAAAGAAACGGCATTTTATTTCCCAGTTCTCAAAGAAAAAATGTTTTATTTTCATAGAGTACAGATGGACACTGTAAATTTTAAATGTAAATGAGTAAATATATTGTGTCTTAAAAGTCTCTCATTATTCTTTTTAAGATTGGTACATACAATGCAAATGTTTAAATGTTTTATGTTTATTTCTGTGATTCTCATTTTATGTTTGTATGTGGTGAGACTGTAATAAAATATTGAATCAGTATTAACATGATTAATGTTCAACTTGAGTCATTTCTCCAATGTTGAACAATGCAATATTATAATTCTTCGCTTATTTGGCAAATTCATATTCTACTAAATATTCAAACATTTAAGTTTTGATAAATACCATTACAAATATAATTTTTGTCTTCGTTTCTGATGGTCACGTGTACGTAAGGTTATTCCATTGAGAAAATACAATATACAAGATTGTCGGGTAAATGTGGATTGCGGATTAAGATTTTAGATGTCAAACTTGAATTAACAAATTAAACTGAGGCGAATTTAACACGAATATGTATTTTCTCTTCAACAGTGTTTTTATTCTCTGTTCTTTATTTTCATTTAAAATAAGCTAAATATGTTTTGTGGAAAATTGAATACAAATAAACATATGTATTTGAAGGCATTTTTTTAATTAAACAAGTATAAGATCACGCAAATATATCCCGTATTCCTTAAGAAGGATTTTAAATTGAGGAATTTTTAAACTTGAAATTGTGTTTACGAGTTTAAGATATTCTTTTTTATTTAAATTTTTTGATAAAATAGTTAAATATATTGTATTATCATAACAAGTCTTTATTTAAATGGAATAAACATGGAACACTTTCACAGATTCACTTTTCATTGTGTTCATGGTTGCATATCAAGGACATCGTTTTTAATGTATGTCTAAAAGATTAATATCCGAAAAAATAATTCACAATAGTACTTTGTATTAAAGAATGACGGATTATTTTACCATGGGGGTATTTTTTGTTCCGTTACTGAGGACATTTTTTTTGTCCTTTATGAATCCATATGACAAATTTGACTCCAATAAGGATAAATTTTATCTTATAGAAAAATCGGTAGTTTTTATCCGATAGATTTTGTGTTCATCTTTATCGGATATAAAAGATTGAAAAATACAAACAATTAATTGAAGTTTCGTATGCATCTATCACGATCCAGAAACTTTTGACTAGTATTTAAAGGGTTGCCTTGGTTTTATAGCTCAAAACGGTATTATTTGTTTTGCTTTACATTGGGTTAAATAGTGAAATGTATGTTTCAGAAATTTACACAAGTTTGATTTCGGCTTTGACTCCCGGGGACACTGTCGTTTACAGTAAAAGACGAAAATCTACACATGTACGTTCTTATAAAAAAGAAGGTGTGGTATGATTGCCAATGTTCATCATTATACCATAATTATTGTACTCCCCCTAATAATGAATCTATAATATATGCCACTGGACGTTAAACGATCAACTATTAATTCATCCATCTTATCCTTTTAGTTTTGTAATAATTTGCATATCAAATACATGAAACAACAGGGGCGGATC